GGGTTGGTCGGCCCATTTGACTGGTAGTAGATTGTGGGTTACACAGTGGGCTTTATTTCAGGCCGCTTTATAAACGTACCCAATTGCCTTTTTCTGACTAAATTTATTTTTTTACTAGGCTTATTAGTGTCAAAAGTAATATTATTAGGCCTCATTAATTTAAAATCAAATTTGTATTCAGAAGAAATATTCGATTTTAATTAATTTAAAGTCAAATTATCTCAGATCTCATAAATAAGACCTTGTTCGATATTGAATTGCAACATTTACTAGAAGTTTTATGTATGTTGAATTAACCACTATCTCTTTACAAGTATTTATTAATTTTTTATCTTTTCAAGTTATTTTCCCCCTCAGGAGCTGTTATTGTTGATCATGTCATATATCTCATCTCCTTAGGTTTTGAAGGGACGGTGCCTAGACTAGCCACTGTTGTTACTTTGGCATCATCACTTGACTATACATCTTCAAAGTCTACACTCAAATTGCTCTTACCTCTTGTAAGTGGATTTGAAGTAACAACTTGAACCGCATGTTAATCTCACTTGTTCAATATATTCAGATAATTTTAAGATACTAGACTTTATTGGGAAAAATTAACATCAATATACTTGTTACACAGGCAGATCCTGCACAGGTTCTCAATGTCCCTGTTGTTCCTTTTGGAGTGTTATTATCAGCTGCTTATCCTCTATCAACTTGTCCTCCTTATGTCTTGGATTGGCTTAATCATCTAGTATCATCAGAGAACATGATGCATCCAAAGTTCTTAAAAAAGCTTGTCTTGAACACTTTCTGTAAGTAGAGACGTTTCCCTGACGTCATGGTACAATGACTTGTTTTTCAAGTTCGGGGCAAACTGTAAACCCATGTTACCTGCTGATTAGTGGGTCATGAAAATCTCATTTGTTCCACTGTGATGGTTTTATTCCTCTATATATGTGGAGCTAGCTCTGAATTCTAGCTTCAACTTGCAGGTACTATAGCTGTCAAACTCCTCTTGCAGCTTAGAACAGCTTTTCAATAGGGTGGACTACGTGATAGGAGTAGTAAATTTTTCTGCAAGGATCATATGCATAGAAGCAATGTCCCTGTGTTGGCCCTTTCTAGGAATCAAGATCGGATTTGCCCTCCTGAAGCTGTAGAAGGTTGTTTTTTCAAAGTACTTTTGTATGCACACGTTTACCCTCAGAAGTTCTCATGGTTGTTTGTCTTCACTGCAGAAACTGTGAAGCTCTTTCCTTAAAGTTTGGTTACTTATAAAGTTTTTTGGTGAACCTCAAGGCCCACACTATGCACATTATGACTTGGTGGGAGGACTCATGGTATGCATGTTCCTTGGAGAAATTTTTTGCTGTTTATTTCTCTGTTTATTTTCTACAACATATATAATCTTCTAAAATATATTTTTAATTGGTTAAAATTTGCAGGCTGTAGAGCAAGTTTATCTCTGTACAATCGAATATCTTACTCTATATCTGAGTCATGAAACATCATTACACACAGCTGATAGCAAGCCAAGTTGGAACAATTCTTAGCCTTGGCCAATTCAGAGGTGGACTCGAATATTAGGTATTCAAGGCTTGTTGCAGAGGATTGTGATGTAGGGGCAGAAGGGGTGCAGAGAAAAGAGTGGTGGGTTTAAGACTTTAAGTCAAGGTGAATATGGATGATATTGTGGTTAGTAGAAAAGTCCGTATGGTGGATCATGGTGGAGGTGGACGCTCAAGCCTTCAAGGCAGCAGGAAGACATGTTTGGTGGAGTAGAAATTGAATTCCAAGAAACTATGCAATTTTCCATTTTGGAAATGGATAACATGGTTGCAGAATTATTGCTTGTGGGGACAAACTGAATTTGGGTTAAGCTCTGAGTTCTACTTGGCATAGAAGGACAGAGAAGAAAATTGGAGGACTGTTGGTGATGTTCCATTGAGTTTAAAACTTGAGTCAATGGAAGTGGCTGCACTTGACCAAACGGATTCAGACTAGAAGATAGATAATGGTCAAACAATCGGACTGATTCCTTAGCAATTCATTCCGCATGACAGCTAAGAGTTCACTTTTTGCCTTTGATTTTCACTTCCTACATTCGCGCCACATGATTGGCTCAATAGAAAATATGATTTGGTCAAGGGAGTTCTTCCAGACAGCCAGGCTAAACTGTCCAAGTAAAATAGTGTAGTTGTTGCCTGTTGGAAAGCTAGAAAATCTATGTTCTTGATTCACGAGACTGGACTATGGCTTTACACTTTATTCATCATTGATATCTATGTTCTTAATTGTTACCCTTTGTTTAACTTATACTCATTAACAAATGATGGACAATCAAGCAAAGCATCATATCATTAAGGATTATCAAATATATGATTTCAAGTACTGGATTATCAACAAGGAAGCGCCTTGAACCCATGGACATAGGTGAGGCATCAATAAGCAAATCGTCTTTTTTTTTTTTTAAGTTAACTACATTTAAAATAAGTAAACAGCTAAACAAATTTAATACAAACGAATTGCGCAAAACCCAGCTTGGGGTCTAGTAAAATAATTAATTTTATTGAACAAGAAAACGAAAGAGACAAAGGGTCTGCAATAAGAGCAAGAAGAAAAAACAACCTTCCACGTGTACTGACCAATTCATACAGATACAAATGCCTACTAGAAATAGAAAAGCTCACAGCTGGTCAGCTAAGCCCTAGAGCAGTGATCACAAAGGGAATCCTACAGGAAAACATGAAGATTGAAGACCTTCCCTTAACTACTAAAATTGTACCATCTTTCACCATTGCTGGTTTGCTGCAATTCAGCGGGAATCATTTTCAGCTGAAGCAGAAGTGGAACTAACCAACATCTTGTAATTGTACCAAACTCAATGTAATGACAAAACACAAATGAACGTCTAGCTTTGAAAAAGAACCTCAAATGTTGGTTTAATTAGGTTTCTCATTCGGAGGACACAACTAATCTGTCCAAAGCATCAGAGATGTGCCTCATTGCTGGTCTTCTTTCAGGGTTGGTATGAACACAGGCCATTGCGATCTTTAGAATTGCAATTATCTCCTCTTCCTTATCTGCATCTAGAGCCAAGAACGGCTCTAGAACATCTAAAAGTGACCTTTTCTCTTCAATGCAAAGCTGAATCCATTGGACAAGATCCATTTCTGAGGACCCCACATGGACTAATGGTGTTCTTCCAGTGATCATTTCCAGTAAAATCACCCCATAGGAGTAGACATCCCACTTCTGTGATGGTTTCACCACTTTCAGTGCTTCCGGAGCTTGGTAAAAAGACCCCAAGTTAATAGAAGAATGAACTGCAGTAACTTGTGAGGACGCACTCTTCTGTGGTCTTTCTTGCGGTTTCTCCACATGCAATCTGCTAGATTGCACGGTTGGGGACCCTCCAGCAATGTTAGCAAGACGCCCAAGTCCAAAATCAGAAATCCTCGGTTCCATGTTCTCATCAAGCAAGATGTTACTTGGCGTCAGATCTCCATGTACGTATTTTTTGGGGCTGAATTCATGGAGATAGACCAAGCCTTTTGCTACTCCTTTTGTGATTTTTAATCGAGCAGACCATGGTAATGGAGTGAATGATATCATTCCTGGCTTCCCTGATAACCATAAGAAACATAGAACAATTAAATTAGCTGAAAATGGACAAATAACCAAAAGACTCTCAACCAACTGGCTGCTGCTAATAGAAGAAAAAGGAAAAATAACAATAGTTTCTGGAAGAGGGGACTGGTGAAACATACCATGAAGTGCAGTGGCGAGGCTGCCGTTGGGTACAAAATCATATATCAGCAGCTTCTCATCAACAGACCAATAGTAAGCCCTGAGAGTTACAATATTAGGATGCCTCAGCTTTCCAATGGCCTCTACTTCTGTCTGGAATTCCTTAAACCTCTGTGAACCTCCTTCACCCAATCTTCTAACAGCTAAGGCAAGCCCATCTTCAAGAACCACTTTGTACACGATGCCAATTCCACTCTTCCCCAAAACAAAAGCTGAGGCCTTAAGCAGCTCTTCCAAATCAAATGCCACCTGTGTGTCCAGCGGCACAAGATCATACTGCTCCATGTTTTCTGATAAAGTCTCTGACTCATCTTTTGTAAAGCACAAACACTCCTTTCTTTCCTTGCTTCCCTTCTCAAAACCACACCGATTCTTATCCTTAGCCTTGCTACATGCACAAATTCTTGAATAACAATAAGAGAACAGCAAGCCCACAAGGCATATTCCAATTACATCACACGCTATTATTGCAATAACAGCACTTTTACTCAGCCCTCTCCCTTTCTTTCCTCCATTATCACCTGTATTCTCGGAAGGATAATTATTTGGTAGAAAGGGATATGAAGAAGGTGAACTCGCTGCACCAGGAGTACCCGAAGAACATGGGTTCTTCAATGGAGGTCCACAGAGCCCAGGATTCCCTAAAAATGCAGTTGGTCCTCTATTCATCAGAGCACCATTCTGAGGTATTGGCCCGCTCAAGTTGTTATAAGTGAGATCAATATACACCTTTTCTGGAAGATTCCCTAGGCTAGGTGGGATTGAACCACTGAAGAGATTATGAGATAAATCCACAGTTCCTTGCAGATTAGACAAATTTCCCATATCACTAGGAATTGAACCATTGAAAGTATTGAATGAAAGATCAAGTCTTTCAAGAGAAAGCAAACCAACCCCAAATCCATCAGGCAGAGGACCAGTGAAATTGTTCTGGCTAAGATCAAGGGTTTTTAGCCTCTTACATTGAGTAATTGATGCAGACAACGACCCATTGAAGAAATTCTCCGACAAATCTAAGATTTGAAGGTATTTCAGCTTCCCTATTTCATCCGGCAAAGACCCAGAAAAGGAATTCCCATAAAGGACCAAACTCTGTAACCCCTGACCTCTAATAAGCTCAGCAGGCAAGCTACCAAAAAACCTGTTGTTCCTCAAATTTACATGTCGAAGATCAGAGAGAGAACCCAAAGCCGAAGGAAGAAAACCATATAGCTTCTTCTTTGGAATGCTAACAGAAATAACTCTTTGATCCTTGCATGTAATCCCATTCCATGAACAAGGGTTGTCATCTGAGAAGTTCCAGTTACTCAAAGACCCTTCTGGGTCCTGGTAAATGGACTGCTTAAATGACAACAGAGCATACCCTTCATCATTCAAGGAACCCACTAAACCAAGGAAGTTGCAGATGACAAGAGCCAACAAGAACAGAGGAAGCATCTCCACACCCACACAAAGTGACCGTTGAAAATGCAGAGCTCGGTTTCAAAGAAAAAGCTTACCTCTTTGTGAATTGTGAACACCAGAAACCCAGAAAGCTCAGAGAGAGAAAGACACAATGAATGAAAGGATACAGGGGTAGAGGGAGGAGTGTGAAAGCAGTGACAGCAATGAGAAAGAAAGCATTGAAGAATGGGGATAGTTTCCGCTTACTGGACCTTGGAATGATTGAATTAAAGGTTTGTCACTTTGTCTAACCTTTATTTATAGTTCACGTGTTAAAAAATATAGTTATTTTATTTTTTTATTATTAATTTATATAAAAAATTATAAAAATAAATTTTAATTTTAATTTTAATGTTATTTAAAATATTTTTATCAAATTGTTAATAAAATAAAAATTAAGTTTTTTATATATAATAATAAATACAATAAACACATTTTAATTTATATTTTAAAAAATATAAATTAAAAAATTACTTGAATTAATTAAAAATGTGAGTGTTGCTTTTTAATTTTAATTATATTAAATTATAAAATAAAAATTATTAAATAA